ATATCCAAGGAACAGTGGTGGATTTCAAAAAAATTTGGAACATCTTCTGTAGGTGTGGCCTGCTTTCCGGGTCCACTGGTGTCCACCTCTTCTAATGGGTTTGGTAGATTTGACGAACCGGTTCTACCGAATAGGTGCGAACTGGTAGGAACCCACCTCTGGGCAAATCCTAGTGTAAAACTAGTGCTTACTCTTCAAAAACAAGAGCTCCCACCAGTGGTGGCTTCCGGATCCCATTGCAACCGGTATAGTGCAACGGGGCCAGGTGTCCACCACATGCATGTGTGCAGCATGCACACAGTGCACACATACATACTTACTGCCCACAACACTCCGCAACGGTTCCGCATCGTTCCAGCTGCTCGGCAGAATATCGCACAGGCGCCATACGCTCTATGCACGTAAGTCCCGATCAGCTCAAATACAGGTAAGGAGGGCAGGCAGGTGGGCCCTCCAGACCACTGTACTGGAGTTGTATCTGGTGCTCCAGGCAGGCTCCGGTACGTCCGTACCAGGGCGTACCGCTTGCAACCCACCACTGAAATAGACGTTATACTGTCTTTGATCATTTATCATAATATTACAAATTCCACCTTCTGAGTTCAGTATGGTTGTAAGACTGAAAACATTAAATATAAGGAATAGCATATGAATTCACTTCTACCATAGCAATTCAATTATACCTGGATAGTTTGTGTAAATTATAAAAGATTAAACATTTGTTATTACACTTAAAACTTTATGTGTGACAATAAGAAAATTGCTTCTGTTTGTATCCTGAGTTTGTACCTGAAAATTAAAAGACTTTTGTTTTTGAAACAGGCTTATCTGGGGATGAACAAAAACGGAAGGCTGTTGTTGCAGACAGAGTGAGTTTTTTGTTTTTTTTAAATCTAAAGTTGTGTTCAGCTTTTGAATTAAATTCCTTTTGTATATTTTATTTTCCTCTAAGAAATAGATATGTGTGGGTTTGTGAAAAGGTTGATTTTTAGCCACGCAGTTTCATATAACTGATCCTTGTTTGTATACCTGTAACTTTATACATGATATTTAAGGTATATTTTAATATAATTTTAGGTCAATCTACTCACATTATAAATGGTTATTAATTTTCTACATTTTAAAACAGTAAGAAGAGGATAAAACTGAGGCAATAAAGCTTCAATAATGTTTAATCCTGTATTTCTCCTTTCTAAACTTGGTGTCTAGTTCTCTGAACTAGAAAAGAAGAGTTTTCCATGTCCAAATAATTTACTTTTCAAGTGAGAGGATTGTTGTACTCTAATAGTATTATAAAGGAGAAATATGAGGAGTGGTTTTTTTTTTACTGTTTTTGATCTAATCTTCCTTTTATCTGTGGAAAAATTATCTTAAATTCAGGATTGTCTTACTTTGAGGTAATGTTAGTGTATAGTTGTTACAGGAATCCTGTATGCAGTCACTTAGAAATTTAATATTGGATTACCAGTAAGTGTAAAAGTTTTACCACGTCAATATTATTGCAGAATTCATATCTTAAAGATCACTCAAATGAGAGATATAAACGAGACTGGAAAAAATGGATTGACTATATACAAAATAAATA